TTACAAACTCAGAACTATTGAAAAAAAATAGTCATAATATTTTATGTATAATATACCCAGTACAAAATGATAGCATATTCACCGTACTAATGAATATTGTTGAATGGATTCAACAATGATACATAATGTATATTCCTTTTTGTTTTTCTATTTTCATCGTACAATTAGATAATTTTTCTCTAACTTAAATTATTTCACTCCTGTACAATAATATGTATTTTAATTCATGTGTCACTGTCATATTGTTTTCCATTTTTGATTGCACCTACGTAAAATGTGTAATTTTAAAACAAAATGTATAATTCATAAATTTATAACTTGAACGAGTTGTAAAAATCGTCAATTATGTTAATGTTCCGAGAGAAATGTAATGTAATCTAAGTTTTGAAATTTAGGGATTTAGGTTCAGAGATAAAATTTAGATTCTGCATGGTTGTTTATTTGCTCCCTCTATCAGATTTAAACACTATTCATTTTCCCATCAATTTGATATCTATCTTAGCAAAGTAACCAATAGCGGTCCAAATCACTAAATTGTCGCCATTTGTTATCGGATTTGGAAATACTGGAAATATTCTGCACCATCAAGATTGAATTTCTTCTCACCCAAGAATTCATTCGCCACTTCTTCCAATAAACTTGTTATTAAGCTTTTGAAATGTTAAACTTTGTGTTCCACTGTTAGTGCAGATTTTTTTTTTTTTTCTCAATTTCAATCTCTTAATATTTTTCATGTGACTTTAGCATACTTTTGCATAATTTGCTTCGTTGTAAATTGAGACATGGAAGCAATAAGGTAAATAGGTCGTTCATTTCGATGAGATAATAATGATTTTCAACATTTTTTAACGAATCGTGTCCTTCATTATTTCTGATATTTCTGATATGATAAATGTTGTTCCTTTAGTTTGTCTTATTGAGAGTCTGTCTTATTCGTTCAACATTTTTGCGCGTGCCATTCTTAAAAATCTCTGTAACATAATACTTCATGAAATACTGTACAGTTTTTAAACATATAAAAAAGGTATCATTTCGCTGTTGCTATAAAATTTCGCCTTGTACAAAAGCTTTATGATATTGGGACTTATTTTCAGTGATCGATGTATTCTCAGTTCGTAATCTAACAATATTGCTCGTTATAAATATAAAATTCCATATGCGTAATTGGGAAATTAAAAATGGCATAGGTGTGCTTTCTTTTTGACTGGGAGCGTACATTCGCTAAAGTTTTCGAGGATGATACTTAAACAGATTTCAAAGAGTTAATAAAAAAGCAGCGTATTTTTTATGGTAGTATTGTTATCATAGTATCGACGATTATGTTAAAACTAAGAATAAGTCAGGTTTTACAGTTCCTTTATTGTCCGAAGCACGAACGCGACGTACTTACAGTTAAGAAAAGAAGAATTTACGAAATGTTGAAATAAAGACAATGTTTTTGTTTTTTATAGAGAAAACGAAAGCAACATAGTTATCGGTTATGATCGTATACTTATAGGTTCTTTCAATTATTCAATGATAGCGTTGAGCAAACGAACTGCGTTTATTTAAACCAAAAAAACCTGTACCTTTGCGAATAAAATAAATTTACTTTTTACAAAAAATGACAGTTCATAATCATTCTTAATTTCTGCACATACATCTCATCTGTAGTCCCTAATATATCGTCAGAAATGCAAATGACTCGTCGTTATTGATTTATCAGATTAAATTAAATTGCTAACAAATTTATAAATTTTTAATTATACGTAAACAATATCTGGATCGGTCTTATTTAGTATTTCATTTCATATTTTTGCGAAGTTTCTGAAAACCTATCACCTGTGATTTGGGTAATGTTCATTTTGTACGAAGATAACGTTTACAAGAAGAATTTTTGACAACTCAAGAAATAAAACAAAGAATTCCAAAATTTTAGAAAAAAATTTTTGTGTTTGGGTCACATTTTGAAAAGAGTCAAAATTGGATTTTGCAAAAAATGGAAAGTACGATTGCACTAAATTATAGCAGCCGGTTTAAATTATTTTAAATTGAAGCTGAACTAATAATGTATTTTGCAAAATTTTGAATCTTAATTTTCGAATTGCTAAAAGTCTGTCTTGTGGATATTATTTTTAACTTAAAGAAACTTATTTTCAAAATATCATTCAGATCAGAGAATAGAAGTTTTCAGAATTACAGAAAGTAGCAATAAAGATAATACATTTTTCGCAAAATTTTAAGTTCTAAAATTGCCAAAAATCCTTGTCATATTATTTTTATGTAAAGTTATTTTCAAAATTCCAATCAAATCAGAGATGACAGATTTTCATTATTATATACAAATACTGCTCATATTTTCGTTATTGTATCACTTCTTAGTTTGATAAAATTTAAAATTATAAAAATGAATCGCTAAAAATGAAAAAAAAAAGTCTTTTTTTATGTTTATACAGATATAGAGAGCTCTCGCGATAAGTTATCGTCATTTTTAGTGCGAAGATAATTATCAATACCTTACGCAGTAACGAACGGTACAATACCGACTGTAGATATATGCACGCGATACCGACTGATAATAAAGTATAAACGCGATTAAATACAATTAAATACCAACGAAATTCATTTTTTTAGTTTAAACGTGCGATACATTAGTCATATATTGTCGCATATAATCAATTAAAAATAATCAAAAATTGAGTACACTTGATTTTACAATCCAATGTGTATGCACAATTTTTTGAGATATTGCGTCACGATATAGCATGCAATTAGATATTAGTGTTTAACAATTATTAGCGGCTTGTTACACATCAATTTCTACACTTATTAAGATGAAATTATATTTGTGAGCACCAATGTATAGCAGGTAATATTCCATATTGCCAGAGGAAAATTTGAAGGATCCAATAGCGGAAACAAAATCTCGAATTCCCAATTATATCACGAGACAGAAGCTGATCGTAATAAGTCAACGTGCATCGCACGTGTACCTACATACTTGGATACGTTCTGGCACGGTGGTACTTGCTGCGACGACCTTGAGAGAGCGGAAGAAAGCGGGATTTTTGCAGGAAGGAACAAAAAGGTCGAGGACGGGTCAGTAAGGAAGCTTGGCGCTCATTAGATCGGAGCGAATCCTTTCCAGTGAACGGGACATTCCTGCGCGTTGACGTATATATACGTCTGGAGCAATGTATACGTGCGATCCAGCAGGAATCGCCGCCAGAAAATCAATCCGGGACGTCATGCTGTCGTGTGTATCAACATTGGAAAATCAATGGTAACCCGTGACGTAGGAGTCCCGCCTCAGAATGGACCAATAGAATTGCCCGCTGATCCCCACCGTGGCAATCTTTTACACCTACCCGCACGAGCATCGTGCTCATTCCGTAGCAGACTACTGCATCGACCGGACGCGCGTGATCGAGAACGTTGTTGAAAAGGCAGTACGCTTAGCTACTGTAAAAAAAAAAAAAAAAAAAAAAAAGGAAAAAGAAAAGAAGAACCAAATACCCGCGAAAGCACACGACGTGTATGCAGTTTTCCAGTCAACACAGTAGCAACAACAACAACTGGGAAGATCGGTTAGCAGCAATACCGGCAACACAGTAATACCAGTGATAAGTCATTGTTATCGTCGAAGGCAGCTAACGTCGAATTGAATTCGGAAAATCCGATCGGTACGAACGTTGCGGATTTCCAATCGTAAGACGTAAAATTTGGGAAAAGGCTGGATTCAGTTCACGACAAACGTTTCATCGGGAATAATTTGCACGCGTAAATTTCTGTCGACTTAAAAAAAATAAATAAATAAATAAATAAATAGATAAAAAGAAAAGAAAGAATAGGCGACTGTACGTCGGTGAAGCGAGAGCACAAAGTGATTCGACGAAATCTTTTGGAAAAAATTATCGACGTGCACAGAGGCCGCCGGGAGACCCCCCGTTCGGTTTGAACTTTCCAGAAAAACAGAGCGAGAAAGACAGCGGCTAGGTGTGCAGAGCAAGGTGAGAGAAAAGGAAAGCGACTTACCGCGGTATAGGAAGAAAAAGAGTGTGTACTCTTCGTCACAAAGTGAGTGCCGGCTATCGAGATGGCGTTTATGATGCCCGTTATGAAAAACGAGTGGGACATTTATAAGACCAACCGCAGTCGGCGATCCTCCGAGTGTTCCAACCCTCAGGGCTGTCGCAGTAGGAAGGTGAGTGTTTCATTCGTTCAAGATTCGCCTGAAAGCGACTTCTATTGAATTCATACGCGTGTTTTCCATTTTTGCAAAAAAAAAAAAAAAAA